AGTTGCCAGAAAAATTCTTGATCCTTCCAGAAACTCCAGCGCGCATGCTCTCAACATCGTGTGACTTCCGCTGTCGTAACAGTACATTCTACTGTTTCTTCCAATAATGTTTTATCCAACGGTACTGTTATGACATGCAATTTATTATTGTTTAGCACGCACATTTGTATCTAAATCTCTCACAACAGCAGTTTATATGACTTTTGTCAACGATTGTATTATTATGATGTATAAAGCTTTAATTTAGTATAGCATGATCTATTGAAGAGTAGTGTGTGTGTGATATTACATCACAATTAGACCGATAATAAAGAATTAAAATTCAAGTTAAGATATATTTATTAAAGCCATCAATGGCTTCCAAGAATTTTAAATTTAAACATAACACGAATGCAGATCATTCATACATAAGACTAATATATTTATAAATCTCTCACTGTGCTAGGCCTATATGAGCGGGAATACAATAATCATTTCTCCTGATGAAGCCGTAATGGGGAAACATTACGAAAATTAAATTGAACCAAAATATAATACAGTTTATTTTCTGAAGTATAGTGTATAATTAAAGATATATATTACAAACTTTTCAGCGGGCGTTACGAATATTCAAATCTCAACATAAAGTAAGAGTTGCTGACAACCGCCAAGACGATGGGAATTTATAATTTTAAATAAAAATAAATTTTTTATGGTGAAAAATAAATACAAGCACAAACATACATTTATCTATGTATATATATGTATATTTCAAACACCAATTCAGTAATAAAACTGGGTTCAATAAGTTTGTATTATAAAACGATTTAGACTGTCACAATATAGTATATATTTTTCTGAAATAATATATCCACTTTATATAAAAATGGTCAAGGGTATTATTTTGTGTTTCAAGCCTGATGACTGAGAATGTTTTTCTTTTACACTTATCACAGGTATAGCTTCGAACCAAGATAGGTTACTTGGTCTTTTTCTGTTACTTGGATAATAAACAAAATATTTATCTGTTACTCCATCAAATTTGTTTAATTTACCTCCTTCTACATGCACTAGTCGGTCCATAAAACCAAAATACCATCTCACCTATCACTATGCCACTAACGTTCTACTCTAGTTTTTCTTCAATAAACTCATCCACCAGTCAGCGAAAAACAACTCATTCTTCTTCTACCTTTTATCAAAATTCATCGGTCTGGCCTACAATTGATTCACTCTTTTGCTGCCACGCTACATTGTTTTTCAAGGTAAATTGTTAAGCTACCGTTTCTATTTTTATCACAGCCTAGTGGTTAAGACGCTCGACTCGCAATCTGAGGGTCGCAGGCTCGAATCCCCGTCCCAACAAACATGCTCTCCGTTTCAGCCATGGAGGCACTATAATGTGACGAACAATCCAAGTGTTAGTTGGTAAAAGAGTAGCCCAAGAGTTGGCGGTGGATGGTGATGATTATCTGCCTTCCCTCTAGTCTTACACTGCTAAGTTAGGAACGGCTAGCGTTGGTAGCCCTTGTGTAGATTTGCGCGAAATTCAAACCAAACTCTTTTTATCTTCCACCAGTCTTTATTTTTGATGATCCATTCTTCTTTATTTCTCATTATCCACTGATTAATCAATGACTTTTCCATTTCTCAGAATTATTCACCAGTTTGATATTTAAGCGATTCTCTGTTTTTTCGTTCACTATTATCATTCGTCAGTTTGATCTAAACCTGAATCCCTCTTATTTTACTTCTTACTTTACATCCATTATTTTTTTTCTTCAAACAATCCAATAACCTTCAACAATACGTTGTTCATCTACCAGGCTGTTCACGAAATTAATCCATTATACACACACATATATATACTACTTTTCTGTATACCTATTCAGCAGACTAAATCTCCTATTTTCCATCATCTATTGTTTTGTTTCTTCACAAAACTGACTTAATCTTCATTCATAGAATTCATAGTTTTACTTCTGAAACTGGTGTACTTTTTTTAATCCTTTTTTACTAGGATCACTTGGAAAATAAATAAATAAAAAGATAAACATCAAAAATAAGCAGGAAGAAAAGTGGACATTAAATATCTTTGAACAAATATACATAATTGTTCAAGTAGCATAAAGTCAAAACAGTATTCAGAAATTAAACCACAATACGATCATAGCTAGTACACACCAAATCACCCAGAGGCTCAATGGAGAGCAAACACATAATTTACAACATCCCTTGTGAATATGGTGTCTAAGACTTTGTAATCCACAAAAGGTAGAATTCAGGGGCATAACAGACGGACAATCGAAACTTTGTCATGCCGATTTATCTGAAATAGTATGAAACATCATACCGGAGAAGGTAATACAATAAAATGTTCTAGTACAAAAATATTGGGATATGAACCACACAATGATGAAAATAAGAGAAATATTCTATATCCATCTAACTGACAATATATTCAGTAAATCTAACACAGAAGCCAACATAATCTAGACACTCCTTTTGTAAACATTTAAAGAATTAGCAGATGGAAGGCCTAATGGGAGAGGCGTTGTATGAGTGAATAGCAAGCCAATCGTTCTATCGAAAAATTTAGGCTGGAATCCCGGCTGTTACCACCACTAAAAAAGTCCCTCTTATGACCTCCCAGAAGAAGGCAAGAGATAAACAGCCGGGACACAGGTTATAAATTAGTAAGTAATTAGTACCTAGTAAGAATAATAATGATAAAAATAGTAGCTAGTTAATAATTAGACTTATGTGATTGTATAGGCTACTAAGCATGACAAGAATTGATATCAGAGCACCAAGTCCTTTCTGTTAGTACGATATTAGTCTTATTCACTTATTTGCGTAATAGTTAAATGAGACCATTTATTTTATTTAAGTGTTTAATGATATAAATATATATATTTAAGTGATTAGCACAAAATAGTAAAAAAAAGAAAAAAAAAGAGAACATAATATACAGGAAATTGTTAGCTCATGATAAACGTTCTCCTCAAAAACCTATTGTAGACAGAACTGAAACGTAGGAAGAAGGGGCAATCTTTAATTATTCTTAACTGTGCGTTTAATGCGTTAATACTTACTATTAAACACTGCAACGCTCTCTAACACGTTTTTGTAGTGGAACAAGTGCAATGAATATGAATGATACTTAATTAACCATGGCGGAACATTTTTTGATGATAATACATTTCTTTAGAAATACAATAATTGTTATTTATCATTAGTTCAATAGTTAACAATACAATAGAAATACAATAATTGTTATTTATCATTAGTAAGTAGTTAACAATACAATAGAATTACAATAATTGTTATTTATCATTAGTAAATAGTTAACAATACAATAGAAATACAATAATTGTTATTTATCATTAGTTGGATAGTTAACAATACAATAATTGCTATTTATCATTAGTTGGATAGTTAACAATACAATAATTGTTATTTATCATTAGTTGAATAGTTAACAACACAATAATTACTATTTATCATTAGTTGAATAATTAACAATACAATAATTGTTATTTATCATTAGTTGAAAAGGTAACAATACAATAATTGTTATTTATCATTAGTTGGATAGTTAACAATACAATAATTGCTATTTATCATTAGTTGGATAGTTAACAATACAATAATTGTTATTTATCATTAGTTGAATAGGTAACAATACAATAATTGTTATTTATCATTAGTTGAATAGGTAACAATACAATAATTGCTATTTATCATTAGTTGAATAGGTAACAATACAATAATTGTTACCTATCATTAGTTTAATAGGTAACAATACAATAATTGTTTTTTATCATTAGTTGAACAGTTAACAGTTGATAATAAAACGTGAATTAAGTGCACAGGAAATTGTAGCTCCTATTCAGAGAGTATTTCTAATGTTGAACTAAGAAAGTCAACTATGCCTATCAATGTTTAAATTTAGATATGATATTCTTTATATGTTATTACTAGGTTTATCGAGCGGAAAAAGTCGTGATACTTTGGAGGTCATTATTATTAAAGTGGGGAATATTTATTGGTCATTCCTTAAATAATGTTTTCACCTATCCCCCCATACCCAGATACACAGAAAGGGAGTCGTAACAAGTGCTGGTATAGATTTCTATGTGATCCCATCAACGAGGTCATTGAATAAAATCATCATCAACAACGTGATTCTTTAAACAACAAATTATATTATTTGACAATAAAAAACTCATTTCATACAATCATTAATATTTTGCTTTCTCTTAGCCTATTGTGCAGTATCAGATATAATGATTCAAAGTCAAAAAACCAACGTTTGTGTAGAGAGTTCATCGCACTTTATAAGAACGAGATGCACACGATAGATAATACAGTGGTGTGACATTGAAGTTGCGAGACGTGGCGCCAAAGACGATATGTTTAGCATATGTATACCTAATGCATGAAACATTCCCAACCATTCAACCTGCAGCACTGTCAGGGACAGACTTATGGCTAATGGAATATGTCATAGTCTTCTCCGTTGAAGCATAATTGTATAATGAGATAGATTGATAAATGAGATAGATGCAAAGGGTACAATACCATGAAGAAAGGGGACTTAAGTATTCTTCCGCAAAGGAAAAAGTTCGAATTGCAGACTTCAGTGCTTTCTTAAACGTTCTGTTGTGCCTCTACTCTCATTTGCAAAGCCTACGCGATAAGGCTGGGCATGTCTCCTGCTATTGTTAGCAAGATGCCGTGATCTTACAAGGCTAAAATTTCAGAAGTTTCCAGCTATACCCCTAAATCAGTGGTTGTTATTATGAGTTTTTGTTTGTTTATTTTAGAGCAAAGCTACACAATAAGCTGTCTCCATTCTGTCCACCACGGGGAATAGAATCCCGGATCGTTGTAGGTTCGTAAAATTACCGCTTACCCACTGGAGGGATATTATGAAAAAGATGATCGAAGAAAACGGAATCACTACAATCCCTTTCGACCACATACCTGTCAAGACCAATGATGCTGTTATAGTGAACCTTAGTGCTTCTAGTTTTATTTCATGTTCATCCACAGTTGAGAGATTGTGTAAAGTTGTTCACGAAGTGGTGTCTATGATTAATGTCATATTGTTTGTAGAAGCTTGTGACGCTTAATAAAAATTATGGTTTGGGGCTATAGGACGTTATCACTGAAATATGAATGAACATGATGGACGATCGAAGAAGTAGTTCCAAAGGCAGCACGGGACACGTAGCATCATTTTTGCGAAGTATCATTATCCAACAGTATACATTGCTATAGCTTTTTAAAAACGAATATGTACCCATCGAGAAATAGTTAGAATTATAGTTAATTGTAAACTCAATTTTGGTAGATTCTATAAAAAAATAATTAGCAGAAACGTAAATTATTCATACATGTGCCAGTATTTGATTTTCTTTATTTGGTTGGAAAATCAGCTGAATGGACTTCACCTGGTTCAACTAATATATTTTGATTATGATGAACCTCTGTAACTGGTAATTAGATCATTTTCTTTAATTCATGACTATTCCAAAACGTATGATTTATTTATATAATGGCTTTTCTTTAAATTACTGTCACCACACCTTATATCTAGCTTCCTTTCAGATACATTTGGAGATGATAAAAAATTTGGCGTTCTTCATTTGATAATTTAATGATATAAACACAAAAAAAGTGTTCATGAAAAGATGATAAGTTCAAGCAGTTGTTGCTGCTTTAGCGTAAAGCTGCACAATGGATTATAGCCATATGTGTTCGTAAACTTATCGTCGACTGTAACTTGAAATTTAAACCATGACGCGGAAGATAAGTGGAAAAACTATTTATGACTACAGCTATTTTATTAAAAACCATCTGACCATATCTTTTTTTTTCATACACGCTTTTTGTAAGAATAATAAGGTTTACCAATGGTTCGTCGTTGGTCTTCAAAAAAAAAAAGTAAAACTATACACCTGGGAAAAAGTTAAGCACTCCCAAATATTTTTCAGGATTGCTTATTGAAAATATGGTTTAATTTTCATGATGTTGAGC